ATCATTCTGAAAGTGATTACAGCGATATCGTTATTCTTTCTTGCTATCTTATTCACACCAAGATCGATAACTATGAGAGGATAAAGAAACTATATTAGCGTCCACACTAACGTTCGGACCAATATTGCACAGGCCAGTATTTTCCCACTTAATTTCTTCAGAAACGTTCACTGTCAGTCACTGAGATCTTTTTTAGATTTTCTGTGAAGTATTGTATTTTGTGTTTAATTACTAGTACCTTTTCCATTCTTTTCTAGATATTTTTCTTACAGTTTAGGCTACTAACAATCGCAGGTACAAGCTACTAACAAAGTATATCATAAATGAACAATTATTAAATTATTATTATTTTTAAATTAAACAATTGCAAATAGCAGCTAACTTAATTCACATGATGTGTGTACTGCATCTTTGGTTTCCTCTTTTTGTGTAATGTAAATGGTAAATGTGTGCCTTTTTACCATTTGAGTCACTTATCAAAAGTTGCTAAAAGTTGCCAAATAAATTTTAAAAATAGCTAAATTTGTTGCTAGGTGCTTTTGGAGGAAAAGTTGCTAGGATACTCTGAAAAGTTCCTAAATTTAGCAACAAAATTGCTAAGTTGGCAACACTGGGCAGTTCACAAGAGGGCGTAAATGTGCTGTAGCGCACACTTAGTCAAACTACTTTCGTGTCCACTTACAAGAGTCTTTAGCACTTTCAGAGGCAATATCCAGAGCACAAAATTATTCTATTATTTCTGTTCTAGTTACCAAGACAAAAGTTTTATTCTAAGCAGCACACTTCAAAAATACTGTGCAACGATTTAGAAAAAAATGAACACTGATATTTATAGGTTTATTTATTGGAGTATATTTATTAGACTATTTAGCTTATTCTGTTTATGTAGTTTTTGTTTTATTTTATTTTTACGCTTCTGCGTGTTAAAACTGGCATGTCACTTTTTCAAGAAGGCTTGGCTTATACTGCACGAGTCAACTGAGCTATATTACTATTCATTTTGTTAGCCTATATTTATGTTGTTTATTTTATTTACACTTCTGAGTATTAAAACTGGCATGTCACTTTCCCAAAAAGACTGCTTTTATTATATTATTAAATTATATAATATTTACTATTTATTTTATTATATTTTATAATCTGTCAATATGGGGTGCTGTGTGTACATTAATGAGGAAAAAAAATTAACTTAAATGATTTTAGCAAATGGCTGCAATATAACAAAGAGTGAAAAATTTAAGGGGGTCTGAATACTTTCCGTACCCACTGTATGTATTTTACAAAGAATATATGAACGGCTTCCCCTTAAAAATGGGTTGCTATGATGCTAGAGTGGTTTCCAGGGTGTTGCTATGGAGTTGCTGATGTACTTTGTCTCTGTTTGTGACTAAGCAATCTTGAGGTGTTGCAGCGATGCCAAGTATCTATAATATGGTTTCCATGATGCTAGAGTGGTTTCAAAGGTGTTGCTATGCAGTTGCTATTGTATTCTGAGTGATTCCAAGCAATCTTGGTGTTCCATTATTGCCAAGTCGATATGGTTGTTATTATGCTAGAGGGGTTGCCAGGGTGTTGCTATACAGTTGCTAAGGTGTTCTAAATGATTCCAAGCAATCTTTAGGTGTTCCAGTGATGCCATGTCTCTGTGATGTGGTTGCTATGAGGCTAGAGTGGTTGCTAGGGTGTTGCTATGCAGTTGCTAATGTGTTCTGAGTGATTTGAAGAAACCTTGAGTTGTTCTGGTTATGCAAAGTCTCTATGGTATGGTTGCTATGCTGCTATAGTGGTTGTTAGGGTGTTGCTATGGAGTCGCTAAGGAGTTCTGAGAGATTCCAAGCAATCTTGAGGTGTTTCAGTAGTGATGATTGTCTATGATTTTATTTTTTATATTTTTTTATTATAATGCCACTTTTCTAAGAAGTCTGTTTCTGTTATATTATTTGTAATATAATGTAATATTTGCTATTTATTTTAATAATAAAATAAATATATTTTTATTCAATTTATGTCATTTGTATTTCATTTATTTATTTACATTTCTGTATATTGAAACTTGCATGCTACTTTTCCAAGAAGACTTGATTTATACAGAATGAGTCAATTGGATTATATTTATTGGACTACTTACTGTTTATATTGCTGTATTTATTTTGTTTAATTTATTTCATTTGCACTTCTGCATATTGAAACTGGCATGTCATTTTTCCAAGAAGAGTTGGAACATACTGCATGAGTCATTTGTATTTATTGGAGTAATTCCTCTTTGCTAATTTTATTTCATGTAGTTATTTGCCTCTGTTCACTGGTTTTTTCAGTGTACATAAAAAGAGAGCAGCATGAAGATTCTTTAAAATTTCTCCTTGTGTGCCTCGTGTGGATTAGGAACAACATGAGGGGAAAGAATTCCCTGTGCTCATTGCTTTTGCTTATCTTTATTATCTCATCGTTGCTGTTATATTCTCACATTTACCGTGGTTGTGTTTGGTTTCCATGACACACTGCCCTGCTCTTGTCTCCTGGGGTTTCTGCCGCAGTGACACAGGGCATTACCTGCCATCAGCCCACCCAGGTGTGTGTGTGTGTGTGTGTGTGTCATAGTCGTCTCACACACGTCCCGCTGGTGTGAAAACCACTGTGTGTCATTTCAAAATAATCCTGCATATAACCTTACAGCAATATCATCCTGCGCTGTACCTACCACAGTCGCTCTTGAGTGATGACACAAATAAACAGCCCCTCCTGCTGCTGGAGAGAGCCGTGACTGGGCTGTATTTTGTTTTAAAGTGCTTTTTTTGGTATAACATTTGTTGACGTTTCCCTCCTTTTCCAATGTAGTTTTAATGCATGTTTTTCTCCACACAAGGGCCCGACCACAGTTTTAGAGTCCTGTCTCTGTCTCCTGTTCCTCTGCCAACTCTACTAGATTAATTGGGCCTTCTAATCTGCAGGAATTCGATGGTTTTAAAGTCGTCTAGACAAAGCTTAATTGTGTCAAGTGCTCCATATAGTGCTGATGCACAGTCTTTTAATGCAGTACCTAGACTATGATATGGTTGTTTTGATGATAGAGTGGTTGCCAGGGTGTTGCTATGTGGTTGCTAAAGTGTTCTGAGGGATTCCAAGCAATCTTAAGATGTTCCAGCAATGCCAGGAATCTTTACTATGATGCTAGAGTGGTTTCAAGGGTGTTGTTGTGCAGTTGCTAAGATATTCTGAGTGATTTCAAGCAATCTTGAGGTGTTCCAGTGGTGGCGGTTGTCTATGATATGGTTGTTAAGATGATAGAGTGGTTGCCAGGGTGTTGCTATGCAGTTGTCAAGGTGTTCTGAGTGATTACAAGAAATCTTAAGGTGTTCCAGTGGTGTCAAGTCTCTGTGATGTGGTTGCTGTGATGCTAGAGTGGTTGCTAGGGTGTTGCTAAGGTGTTATGAGTGATTCCAAGCAATCTTAAGGTTTTTCCAGTGTTGCTAAGTCTCTATAATATGGTTGCTATGCAGCTATAGTGGTTGATAAGGTGTTGCTATGCAGTTGCTAATGTGTTATGAGTGCTAATCTTAAGATGTTGGCAAGTCAATATGATATGTTATGATATGATATGATTCCAAGTAATCTTGAGTTGTTCTAGTTATGCAAAGTGTCTATAATATGGCTGTTATGCTGCTATAGTGGTTGCTAGGGTCAGTGTGTTGCTATGCAGTTGCTAAGGTGTTCTGAGTGATTCCAAGCAATCGTGAAGTGTTCTAGTTATGCAAAGTGTCTATAATATGGTTGCTATGCTGGTAGTGTGGTCGCCAAGGTGTTGCTATGCAGTTTCTAAGATGTTCTGAGTGAATACAAAATCTTGAGTTGTTCTAGTTATACAAAGTCTCTATAATATGGTTGCTATGCTGCTATAGTGGTTTCTAGGGTGTTGCTATGCAGTTGCTAAGGTGTTCGGAGTGATTCCAAGCAATCTTAAGCTGTTCTAGTGTTGCCAAGTCAATATGATATGGATGCTATGATGCTAGAGCGGTTGCCAGGGTGTTTCTAAGGTGTTTTTTTTAAGGTGTTTCTTTTTAGCAAAACCACTAACCAATGAACAACATAAAAGTGCATTAAAAATGTTAAAAATAATGCATTAAAAATGCTGTCAGATGGCTCAGAGGGCAGTGTTAGTCTGTTAGAGCTTTGGTGAGATCTGTGGCTGTTTTTCTCTGGAGGTGAGCAGAAACGCGAGCAGCTCTGGAGGAGTGTGAGATTTATCCGTTCTGCTCAGAATTCCTGGGCTCTCTGGGGCTCGGGGATCTACGGCACTCCTCTCGTGCAGATATACACCGGGCCGAAGGGCTGTTCAACCATTCATTCATTAGAGATGATTTACTGTGGCAGCGCAAAACACTCGGGACGTTTCCTTCTGTGTTACACGGCCTGTAGGAGCAGTGCATTCAGCTGTATGCGTAGCACATGGAAACATGGCATTTGCATGCAAATGTGAGCTTGTAGATTCCTGTTAACATTATAAACACTCATTCAAATCTACAGGAAAGAATATCTGTAACTCATTTGTTTCCCTAAGACTGAAATTAGATTAAATGAAGAGCAAATGGAGACACTTCTCAAATGTTTCTCCTGAGAAAAAGACACCAGAAACTCTAAAAATCTCTCTAATGTCTCAATTTTTGCCAAGACACTTATTAATAATATGAACATTTCTTACATTTTCCCCCAAAACAAATGATCTGAGCTGCTATTCTAGTTCATTTTATAGCCTTACACTCTTAGCGTATAACAATTTAGACTTTTGTGTGTATTTTTATTTCACTTTAGGAGTTTAAGATGCAACATCTGAGAAAAGTTGATTTTTACATGATGCATGACTTTATTAGGTTAACCTCTGAGCAATAAGGGTTAATACAGAGTCAAATGACTTAACTCAGTGTGTATGTGTGTGAGTTGTTTGGTCGACAGATTTTGCTAACACATCTCTGTTTTCTCCATTTCTCTTTCACCCCTGCACCGCAGCCCCTAGACGGAGACGTCACGCTGAGAAAGAGGCTCCTGGGAGAACCGGCCCCGCAACGGTGCCCAATAAACCAACCTTTCAGCCTCAGATCAACAGCCATTAGACAGTTACTAACACCAACCTTCAGGTTTGAAGCTGAAAAGAGAGATTTGAGTCTCCTAACCTGAAATATTGAACTTATTCTGCTAATAAAAAAAAATTAAGCTGTTTATTTATTTATTTACTTTACAATATATTGACCAGCAAACCATTTTAGGCCAGTTTATGCTGCTGATTGATTGCTTACTTGTGTTTATTTTATTTATTTATTTATTTTTATATTTTATTTTATTTTATTTTAAAATAGACCAGCAAATCATTTTATGCCAGATTAAGATGTTAATTGTTAGTTTACTTGTTTGTTTACTATTTTATTTTATTTTATTTCAAAATAGACCAGAGGGTTCTTATGCCAGTTTAATCTGTATTTTTTATTTTATTTTATGTTATTTTAAAATAGACCAGCAAACCATCTTATGCCAGTTTAAGCTGTTAATTGTTTGTTTGTTTAGACCAGCAAATTCTTATGCCAGTTTAAGCTGTTGATTTTAGTTTAATTTAATTTAATTTAATTTAATTTTATTTTATTTTATTTTATTTTATTTTTAGAACAGCAGACCATCTTACACCATTTTAAGCTGTTGGTTGTTTATTTTATTTTATTTTATTTTTATCTTATTTTTAACAGGATGGCAAGCCCTGCACCGCTTGTGCTTCAGACATAAATGAAGGTGGGACCGGATCCATATTTACAAGACCAGAAAATCACTTGAGGGTGGACTCATTTGACTCGCGCCAGTAAGTAACCACCTAGCAACCATCGAAAAACTCCCTAGTAACAACACATGAACATGCAACTCAAAAACCACTCTGAACATTAATGAAAAATAATGCATGTGTGAAACGAGATTCAAATGGAAAATAAAGATGATGTCATAGTTCCAAAAATTCCCCCGCTGACCTCTGCGGGGTCGCGACCTCCTGCAGAAAGTGTATAGCTCCACGCTCGGTATCAGGCAGCGTGCTCAGTGCCAGTGGTTTGACATTCACCCAGCTGGCCTGAATAGCAATATGTCATGGTTCTGTGAAGAAACAAAGCTGTAATGTTCTGATGTGTTTCTGGAGCAGTGCGTTGCGATCCGTATGGGGTGTGTTTTGCTCTCCAGCATGTTGGTAAGTGTTGAATGTGTGTGTTTCTCTAGCTGTGGTTGCGTGTGGCGTTGCACGGGATTTTCTGGATTCTTGTGGTGCCCTCAGATATTGCAGGTTTTTTTTGTTTATACTGCTGCGGTAGTTTTTATATGAATAATTATATCACGTGACGAGTGAAGCGGGGCACATGGACACAGGCTGTGATTATTTGACGGTTGGCACTCTGGCAGAGACACTCCCTGACCTCACAGAACCCATAATGACAGCAGCAGACGCTCAGAGACGGCTCAGAGCCGCAGGTGCAGATGTCTGCCGTCCCGTGTGTGTGTGTGTGATAGACTCTCCAGACTTTGCCCTGTGCCTCTGTAAAACGAGTCCCTCCACCCTGATTCTCATCTTGGTCTCTGGCCCTGTAACCCCAAACACATCCATCTAGCGCATTATGCATGTGTCTGTTAGTGCTGTGATGCTGCATTTCTGTTTTGAATGCTCTTTAGCCACATTAAACGCCATTCACAACCCATTTTACTTCAGTAATGAACTGGAATTGTTTATATTTTAGGTCATTTTATTTTATTATTCATTTACTTTTTAAATAAATAAATAGATATTTATGTTTTTTATTATACATTTTTTTTTGCAATGGTATGCACAGTTGAATCATAAAAAAATAAGACTAAGATAAGAATATTCTAGCCATTTATTTGTTTGTTTGATGGTGATTTATTCATTTATTCATTCATCCATGCATGACGTGCTCTGATGAATCAAAATAAGTTTAAGAATATTATAGGCTATTTTTAGGCCAGTGTTTTATGTGATGCAGCATTTAAACATTTTTTTCCAGTAGTTAAATAATTTTCCAATGGTTAGATTTGAAAAAGCAGCATTATTACCATTGGCATACGTTGAAAGTCTTAAGACATTTAGTCTACTTTTTTTTAAATTTTTTTTATAATATTTATTTTCAAATCATTTTTATTTTTAAAATAACTTTTTTTTTTTTTTTT